AGATATAATTTAAAAAGAAAAATATTGGGCAAGATAAGCGTACAATTGTATAATGTATATATATAGAATATAAAAATAGATTTTATATATACATATATATTAACAAAAAATCTGAAAACAAAGTACAACCGATACATGTATAACAATCAGAAAAAAGAAAAATAAAAAATAAGGGCGTACATTTGTATAATGGATATATATAGAATATAAAAATAGATTTGGTATAATTTATATATATAGTATATAAATGTACTAATGAGGTAATGTCAATGGTTGTGTACAGTATATTAATGAAAGAGTAATGTCAGTTGTTACGTAAAAAACGAAAGAAATAATGGTGAAAACGTTTCCTCTGCTATAGTGAAAAAACAGAGGAAATATCGTTGTGATATTTTCTCTTTCATTCATAAAAATGATAAATGTTTTTCATTAATAAAAAACAAAAATAAATTACTAAACATAATTTTTGTATTTATTTCTCCTTTTTAAAAATCGACAACATAAAACAAAAAATATTTTGGTTACTAAACACACCCTAAATCCGCCTGGTTTGATTCCAAACACGCTTCCAAAGGGATGGGACACCCTCGCAGAGCTAGATTGACATCCCCAGAACATGTTGAAATTGACTTGGACGCTTGTTCAAAACAATGTATATTATATGTCCAACTTGTGCTTTCATGATAACAACCCTCCGATGGCTGTCGAGATTGACAACTTGCCAACTGGACGCCAAGCACGTGGCATAGTTGATTTTTGCTTTCTCGGTCTCTATTTATTTTTCTAATAGGATAAGTGATATGCCGACTCATCCCCCATTTCATTTGTTCTTTACAGTCATACTTGATTTCTTTTGAAATATGTTAATCCTTTTAATTTAAATAGTAAAATATTTCATATTAGGTGTTACGTGTTGCCAAGAGAAATGCTTCATCCTCCAATTTTTATCAGGTCAGTGACCAAAAAAAAAAAAAACTAAATTTGTACTTGCCGAAAAAAAACAACAACTAAATTTGTCAATCTTAAAATATTTTCTTACAAGGTACGACATTAATTCTTAATTCACTTGCATGAATGCATTGTTATTTGTTTTAAACATCTAACATTAATACATTATGCTCCATATATATAATATAAATTGTCTAATAATCATTTTAAAAATATATTATTTTTAATTTAGTTGGTATGGAGTATTTTTTATTATGGGTATTTTGATTCGTCTTTTTAAAATTAATTTGTTGGATAGCTTTCTCTGTAATTAACATTAAATATTTAAAACATTTAGTCCACACTTCCAAGTTTCAACAATAAGACTTCGCAAGACTCTATGCAAGAACGTAGTTTCCAGGAAAAGTCCAGTCAAAGAGTAGGAGACTTGCTTTGCTATAAAATATATTACTTGAACTTGTGGTTTTGACTTTTCTACATTGCAGTTTTTGAAGTATCAAAATGCTATAAAAATAATAATAATATTATAATTAATAATAATATAAAAGAAGAAAAGCTAAAAATTCTTTTCGAAGTATCAAAATAACATAAATAGTTTATCCAAAAAAAAATAATAATAAATAAAACTTAAATACTCGTTAACATACCATTTTTTTTCCCTTGTAAATGACCCACTTAAACGCGCTTATTTTTTCTAGTTAAATTGAGAAGAGCCCGAAGGGATACCAGTTAAACTAAAACCTTAATATTCTTATAATTTAAGTTCATGAACTCTGGCAAGTTGCAAAGCTAGGAAATGAACCCTTGAAGAAGACATCTAATTCAGTAACACCATAACACTATTTTAGTTGGAAAACATACATGCATTAGAACATATATATATATTTTTTTCAATTTCAATTTTAAGGCCCGAATTTCAGGTTACCAAACATAATTTTGAATTATTTTTTCTCCAGTTTTACTTTCAAAACATCAATTCTATGTGAGCTGCGCGGTGCGAAATAGGTTGTGAAATTTCTTTTAAAAACACTTGAGGGAGATGAATAAGTGTAACATGATGCTTTAGTGCTTTACCCAAGTATTTGCTTAAATTAAACTTATTGAATTAATATAATCCACAAAGTAAAAATAAATGCAGTATTAACTCCGAGAAGAAGAAAAAAAATCCAAACTATTATTGGATGGGTTTTTTTTTTTATTGAATGAAGTTCTGAGATAATGATACATGTGAGTAAATACAATATACTACTAAACTTGATATCTGATAATCTTGATAGCTTTATCTTTCAAGCGCTTCCAACATTTGCTAGAAAGGAGATTTTGATTTTCTTGAGTGCAACCAAGGTGTCTTCCATGGTAATCCTTTCCTCAGGTGAATCCTTTGAACAGTCCATTGCCAAACCAAAGACAGATGATATACATTGCTCCTTCACAGACTCATGTTTATCTTCTCTTTGTATGAGATTGAGGTCCACAACTTCAATTACTGAATCATCTAATAATGCTTCTTTCACCCAACGCTTCAAACTCATCTCTTCCAAAAACATTTCGTCCGTCTTCTTTCTTGAACATCTCCATCAACAAGATACCATAACTATAGACATCACACCTTGTTGATACTCTTCTTTCCGTTCCATACTCTATGAACCACATCGACATTATTTAGAAATAGATAATGAAAATAGATTTTGACAGATAAAAATGATTTGAAAAAAAAAAACTTTGAAGTTGCCGATTGGGGATGGGACAACTGACCAAGAGAGAGAGAGAGAGTTGTGGATCCACCCAAAACAGCTCTTCGTGGGGCTCAAAGCTCTCTTTTGGTTGGTTGGTTCTCGCTAGTCGAAATTTGTAGCATGATTTTAAAAAAATAAATAAGAAAACTCTAATGAAAATAATAAACATAGAATATCACTTGGTGCAATATACCCAATTGTTGCCAAGGTCATGGTTTGTGCCATGAGATCCCCTTCACCCAAGAGTTTTTCTATGCCAAAATCAGCAACATTTGCAATCATATCTTCATCAAGAAGGATATTGCTGAGCTTCAAATCGAAGTGGACAATGGAAGTTGTATGACCATAATGTAGATATTTCAATACTAATGCAACATCTATTATTATGTTTAACCGTTGCATGATGTCCAAATAATAATTGTAAGAATACAATCACTTATCGAGACTCCCATTAGACATGTACTCTAGCACCAAGGCTTTAAAATTCAGGTTAGTGCAACTGCTGATTATGGTAATAAGGTTTCGATGGCAGACATTGCGCATTACTTCACATTCAATATCACATTTAATTGCCACTACCAATATATAATCATATTACATTATTTGAAATTTGGGTCATCAACTTTATTACTAATTTAATTACTAAGACATCGTAAGTCCCACAATCGGGTCACCTAGTGTGAATGAGATTTTATGGAAATTTATTATTATTAATATAATATATACACACTGACACACACATATGCCCATGTTAGAACTTAGAACCTCATATTACGTTAAATAAGTCGGTCTAGCCTCCCTATCCGACCACAAGTTAAACAATATTTTCATACTAACTTTTTGTAACAAGGTTCATTTATTTTACATCGGATTCGAATAAAAAAGTGAATATGTATAAATAGGTGGGTATACAGCATTATCCAACAACTTAAACTTTTAGATAAATTGGGTAAGCGTTCATCCGTTACAATTGGTATAAGAAACAGACCCAATTTTTAATCCGGTATCACGCCAAGCGTTCGATTAGAAGGACACCCTCGTCTTCACCCCGGGTAGGTATGGTGGTCCGACCACAACGAGGGCATTACGTGAGTTTTGGTGGGGGAGAATGTAACAAAAGTTATTTGTCCCACATCAGATCCGGATGAAAAAGTGATTGAGTATAAATAGATGAGTATGCAAAACCGCTTAACAATCTAAGTTTTTGGGTAAATGTATAAACGTCTACCTATTACACTTTTGCACAACTAATAGTTGTTTGGCAGTGATAAACTTGAGAAGAAGAATAAAGAAAAAAAAATGTTTTTAATATTTTTCTTAAGAAAGACTATGAAAAAGCACCTATTGAATTTGCACTTATAGTAGTTGGATGGAGGGGTCTTATGATTTACAAGGAAACAACCTCAATTAGATAAGTCCCTTAATCTTTGTACTGACCAAGATTCTCTTCCGAGCTTGAGAGGGTCATGTTGGTAAAATTGCAGCATTAGTTAATGAGAGTGGGACCATTATAGGTGGGTGTGGGTCATACATAATGGTCCAATTTTCACACGTAATGGTCCAATTTTCACCCTTAATGGAGCACAAGACCCTCTTCAACGCTGCAGAGGGTTCTTTGCATATCGTTTTTCTATATGTCAATGATTGATCTTTGGCTCTTTTCTTATATTTAATTTATTATTATTATTATTATTTTTTCTTTGTAGAGGTGCACCTACATATTTAGGCTGTATGTATGTCCATGACAATTAAGTCTGCTTCATATGCTCTTATTAGGTGTATGTCACTTTTAAATTTTTTTCGTTTGTTGATATCCACTCACTTCCATTAAGAAATTGTTTGCATCCGAAATGATTCAAATCTTAGACCTGATACATGGCCAAATTCTTATCTACTTTAGCCAATCCCTTGAATTTTTATAATATTTTTATTTCTGTTATTGTTTTTAATGTGACTTGTCTAGTAACCATTTTGTAGAATTTTTCTTTTTAACTTATTTGAGATTTGTTTTTATACAAGTGATTCTTTTCCATTTGGTTCAATAATTGATAATTTTGATTCCCTTTTTGTATATTTGAAATTTAATTTGTTAGATAACTTCGAAAAAATGTTGGATAGGTAAAATGCAACTTAAAATATAGAAGTTATTGCATAGAGTCTTGGTCAACCATACATAACTTTAAGTTATTTTATTGGATAGCTTTATCCATACATAACTTTAAAATTTTTTAAAAAGAAGTAGTTGCACTTTTTAAAGTTTCAACAATATGACCTTTGCAAGACTCTATGCAACAACGTACTTTCCAGGAATAAGCAGAGTGGAAGTGTAAGGAGAGTTGCTTTGCTTTAAAATGTGGAGTTTACTTAAACTTGAGGTCTAGATCTTCGGCAATGCAGTTTCTCAAGTCCTATCAAAATACTATTTACTACTCATTTTTTTATTTTTTTATTTGTCCTGTTTAATCAGAGAGTGGTAGACTAAACCCTTGGCATTCATTCCCAAACTTTATGCAATCTAATCAAAGAGTAGTGATACTTGCCGCCGGAGAGTTGGACAAAATCCTTTGATTGATTATTTATGAGTGAATGGTCCCACTTTTTTATATTTTGAATACATTAACTAATTAAAAACATTTGGTCAAGAAATCCTCTATAACAAATGCAACAACTCATTGATTTTTTTGTTTTTGAAAGGTAAGCTATTTCATTGAAAAGGCTAAAAGCCATAAAATACACAGACATAGAGGGCATACCCACCAAAAGTACAATTTTTTCCCCACAAATAACCCAACAGGCCAATAAAGAACTCTACAAATTTCTGTCACTTCCTGAAAAATAATTCCAAAAAATTGTTCAGAATTTTTGGATTGATATTCACTATATAAAAAATGGAAGTAAAGAAAATGCAACAAGTACAAAATACTATTAAACTTGATACCTGTTAATTCATAGCTTTTTTCTTGCCAGCCATTCCAATATTTTCTGAAAAGGAGATTTTTATTTTCTCAAGCCTAACCAAGACCTCTTTCATGTCGATCCTTTCCACGGGTTTATCACTTGAACAATCTAGGGCCAAACCCAAGATATATGACACACATTCCTCCTTAACAGAGAAATTTTCATCCTCTGTTCCTATCAGATTGCTGTCCACAACTTCAATTATTGAACCATCTAATGCTTCCTTCACCCAACGCCTCAAGCTCATCTCTCCAGCAAACATTTCATCTGTCGGCCTCTTCCTTGTAAATATTTCCATCAACAAGACACCATAACTATAGACATCGCATCTTGTTGATACTCTTCCTTCCATTCCGTACTCTATGCACCAAATCAACAATGAAAATAAATTCTAACAAGGAAAAAGACAATACAAGTGTAAAAAGTAAATATGAAAGTCTGAAACTCAATTGAGATAATGAGCATAGAACATCACCTGGTGCCATATACCCAATTGTTGCCAAGGTCGTGGTTTGTGCCATAAGATCCCCTTCACCAAAGAGTTTGGCAATGCCAAAATCAGCAACATGTGCAATCATATCTTCGTCAAGTAGGACATTCTCGGGCTTCAAATCACAGTGAACAATGGGTGTTACATGACCATGATGGAGATATTCCAAGGCTGATGCGACATCTATCATTATGTTTAACCTTTGTAGGATGTCCAAACAATAGTTGTGCGAATACAACCACTTCTCAAAGCTCCCATTAGGCATGTACTCTAGTACCAAGGCTCTGAAATCCATGTTATTAGTGCAACTGCTAATGATTCTTATCAGATTTCGATGGCGAGTATTGCATATCACTTCACATTCGACATCAAAACTCTTGATTGCTCTTTCTAATTGCAAATTGAAAACCTTTATGGCAATAATCATCCCATCTGAAAGCGTTCCTTTATATACCGAACCAAAACTTCCAACGCCAAGAAGGTTGGCTTCGCTGAATCCATCTGTTGCTTGTAAAAGCTCTAGGTAAGAAATTCTTCTCCATGTCAGAGGTGACAAATCTGCATTTGTTGATAATTTGACCATTCGTTTTCGGCGTATCAACACAATTATGAGAGCCACCACAAGAGTTATCAATGCAATAGGAGGTAAAATATATTTCAACAACGGTACAATTTTTGACCTCGATCTTTGGTTCTTGTTGGTTTTGCAAAGCGGGACTTGCAGTTGGGCTAGGCCACAAAGTGCATCATTATGCATGAATGATTGAGCTGTAAAGTTCACAAAATGTCCTCCAGTAGGAATTTCTCCTTGGAGTCTATTGAAAGATACATTCAAATATTGGAGATACCTGAGCATCTCTAAGGACTTGGGAATCTCTCCAGAAAAATTGTTGTTGGATAGATCTAAGAATTCCAAGCTTATCAAGTTGCCCAGTGATTGAGGAATATGTCCTTGCAGTTCATTATGCGCCAAGGAGAAATTAACTAATGATTGAGCGCTTCCAATGGTGCTGGGGATATCACCTGATAACTGGTTCCACGACAAGTCTAATTGTGTTATGACCTTCAAATTCCCGATATCGAGTGGTAGATTACCTCTGAGAGAGTTTGTGGATAAATTCAAACCCAATAGATCCTCAAGGCTCCACAAGTTTGGAGGTATCACTGAAGTCAAGTTGTTGGAGTCCAAGTACAGTCTTCTTAGAGACTTGAGTTCTCCCAAGCATTTCGGTATCGGTCCATAAAGCTTATTGTTACTTGCGTAAATGTCTCCGAGCTTAGTTAACTTGCAAAGATCATTTGGAATGGGTCCTTGTAGTCTGTTGTGTTCAAGATACAAACGTTCAAGATTCTGTAACCCTCCGATTGTTGTTGGGATAGGTCCGCTTAACTCGTTGCTATCCAAGAGTATGGCATCCATGCTGCTCAAATTGCCGATTCCACTAGGGATGCTGCCCTTGATCTTGCATCCAAATGCTTCAAGGCGTCGTAGAGAAATGGACAAATTCCCCAATGAATCAGGGAGCATGCCATTAAATTGATTTAGTGATATGCTCACTAATTCCAAATGTCTACAATTGGTCAAAGCAGTGAAAAATCTTAATTCCCCAGTAGAAGATTCCACTGTCAAGTTATTTTCACCAACTAAGAGCCGTTGTAGGAGTGTTAAACTACCAAGTGTATTTGGTATTGAGCCAGTGAATGAGTTGCTTCCCATGACTAGAATGGTAAGCTTAGAACAATTGGATATAGTGCTTGGGATTTTTCCGCTGAATTTATTACTTCCTAGATAAAGCTCTTCAAGACTGGGAAGCCAAAGCCCCATGGTTGAAGGAAGATGCCCTGAGAATTGGTTGTCATTCAAATCAAAGAATTTCATTGTTGTCACATTGAAGATATTGGACGGAATGAGGCCAGTTAGGCTGTTTTGATGGATACTAAATCCTTCAAGATTAAGGTTACCAATCTCATCAGGTAATGTACCTGTAGCAATGTGAACACTTGCATTACTCAATCAAGAATAATTATGTAAATGAGATACATTTACTGAAACCAAATTTATAAAGGCAGTGAAATTATGTAATGTGTGTGTGTGATTGTTTTTTTTTTTTTCAACAAGACTTGCATGGACAAAAATAGAGGAAGTATGCATGAGGGGTTACCTGTAAAACTGTTACCACTCAAATATAGATCTTTGAGCAAAGTAAGGTTTCCAATATTCTTAGATATGCTGCCTGTGAATTTATTATACGACAATTGTAATACTCGGAGCCCTCTGCATTCCCATAAGTTGGACGGAATATGACCAGTGAGCTGATTTCGATGAAGATACAGCTCTTCAAGAACAGGGAAATCATTATTGATGCTTACTGGGAGGTTTCCAGACAGGCTGTTGTTTGCGAAATCAATACTTCTCAAAGAAGAAATGTTGAAGATTGAAGATGGAATCGACCCTGTTAGAGAGCCACTTTGGAAGCTCAATATTTCAAGATGTGGAAGATTACCTATCTCGGATGGAATTACACCTGCAAAATTGTCAGAACCAAGACATAAATTCCTCCCTTGTTATACTAGTTTGCTTTTAATGATTAAAAAATGTGATGCGTGCCACTAGGTAATGAAGCAAACTAGATATATGTGAATCTGATTTCCAATTCAAAATTTCTTCTTTTAATTTCAGGATCCGAATCTGTCTAGGTAACACAAACACACACGCGCAAAAAAATAAATAAATAAATAAATAAATAAAAGAAAAAGAAAGGAAAAAGCACTCAAGAAATCTACTTGGCTAGATTTTTTTTAATTTTATAATATGATTGAAAAGTCTGAGAAAGAGAAACAGATGGACAAGTTTATCAATATTCATCCTCACATGACCTAGTCTGCATTCTGCTTGTGCATGACACCCACCCCAACACACACACACACACACACACAGACCCAACAAGATTATATCATATCTTTGAGTTATAAAAGCTTATTCTTGAGGTATCAACAGTTCATCATTTTTTTTTCAATGTTTAAATGAACACTTAAATCGAGTGTTTGTTGTCATTCAAGCCAATATTGATTTCTCATTGCTGTGTTCACAACCACTTTGCAAACTTTTAATTACCTCAATGTCACACTGTAAGCCATTTAGCAATTGTCTAATATCTTTGTTTATCATAATTAATACTATTAGGCGTGTACAAGTGCAGTGACATAAGTTGATAAAATTAAAGTGATATCAGCTAGCCAAATACCAAATGCATATCAAAGTCAGACAATTACAAAAAGGATTACTTTACTTTGAAATTCTTTGAAAATCCAAGCATAATTTATCAAAAGTTCTCTTTTGACTAAGGACCTGATATTGAAATCATACCTTCCAAGCTGTTTTTCCCAAGATACAACTCCATGAGCATAGTCAGATTTCCAATTTCTCTAGGTATGCTGCCATTGAATTCATTGAATGACAATGATAGAACTTGGAGTTTCCTGCATCTGTATAAATTGGATGGAATTTGGCCGTTAAGCTGATTCAGAGAAAGAGAGAGTAATTCAAGTTCAGGAAGATGGCTACACATGTCTACCGGCAGGCTACCAGATAGGCTATTATTTGCAAGAACAATCATTTCCAAAGAAGAAATGTTGAATATGCTAGATGGTATGAAACCCGTGAGCTCGTTAAAACTCAAGTTTAATACTTTCAATCTAGAAAGTTTGCCAATCTCTTTGGGAATATAGTCGTTGAAATTGTTACGACTGATGTCAAGTGATGTGAGAAATGAGAGATTTCCAAGATGTGGAGTGATGGTGCCTTTGAGTCCCATATCATAAAGATGCAAGGCAGTGACCCTTTGGTGAGTGAGATCACAAGACACACCAATCCAATTGCACACAGAGGTAGTGGAAGACCAATTTTTGGCCAAAACATCTTCAGGGTCAGAAGTGATGTGGGCTCTAAAGGCAAGAAGAGCAGATTGATCTGTATTCAAGTTTTTGTCAGACCTAGCCAAACAAAGCATAGAACAACAGTGTATCAACTGTGCAATGGACAAAAGGAAAGAAACTTTTTCCATGAGTTTGAGTTTTGTGGAGATAATATATGAACTTTTATCTAGCAAAGAACATAAATCAATAGTTTATACACTCTTTGAGACTCGTGACAGTCTCAATTGAATGGATTTGAATTTAGTCCTTTGATCCAGTTTATATTTTCATGCCCACCGTTTTGCTACGTCGAGTTCAAAACTTTGTGTTGTTGCCAGTCCTGAATCAAATTAATTGAGACAACCACCCAATGTCAATTGTGACTGTCACCAGTGAGCCCATTATGAATGCTTATTAACTCTTGCACAGAAAGTTAGACACCAACAGTTGAAGCAGTCGTTGGCACCACAGGACAAGGCTAATATATAATCATTTTATATTATTATTTGGGGTAATGTCAATTTATGAATTTAATGTGTCGTCAAAATCATTGACATTTTGTACTCTTTTTTTTTTTTTCTTTCGAAAAACACAAAATATGGATTATCTTTCATTTTAAATCCATTATTTATATTCTGCTAAAGTCTTGCAATGTCCTTAATAGCTGAACGTTCTTTTTAGGTAAATCTCAATAGCTGAATGTTGATAACTGCTTGTTAAGTAATATTTCTTAAACATTATTTTCTAAAACTCAAGTATGTAGAACACACATACAAAAATAATAAATAAATTTATACAAGTTTAATATTAATTATATGATATCACCAACTAATTAAATGCCTACTCCTAAAACACTTATAGAGGATATAGTGGTGATAGCAGCAGGATTAAGAGTGTTCTAGGCTGAAGGATCAAGACTTCCTAGCTGCAACCTATAAAACTGAGCTTCGTATTTAACTTAAACCAATATATAGATAATTAAAACGTCAGCATTTAAAATAATATGAGTTTCATGAACTTGTATAATATAGAGAAAACATTAAATATCATTTTGAAAATTTCAATCGCTTCACTGGGAATTAGAAAACATCAGCAGCAAAAATAGAGCCCTCAAAATGTTCCTGTAAAAATAAATAAATAAATAAAAATAATAATAACAAGTGCCAAGTTCTTCAATTCTGAATTGTATGATGACCTTTTGTTATATATATATATATATATATACACACACACACACACTTTGGTTCTTGTCTTACTATTGGAGTTACAGTAGGCTTCCATCCAAATATTTTCTTTTCAACTTTCCATCCAAATAATTTAATCCCCACCCACTTATAAACAGTAGAGTCAATAGACCAGAGTCCACAAAATCAAATTGATACAGTATACATAGAGAGAATTTTGAACTCACCAAACCCATTTACCAGCAACAGAGCAGAGTCCAATTTGAGATAATTATGAACCCATCCAATTGATACAATATAGATACACATAGAATTATGAACTCACCAAACCCATTTAAAACACCAAACCCATTCACAGGCAATCGATCAGAGTCTATAAGTAAAATTGATACAATACACATATATATAGAGTTATTGTTATGAATTTGTCAAATAGCCTTTCAAGTTGTCCTGATTTTTAGGTATTTTGTTAGTTTATTTTATTGTTGCAGATCATGTGTTAGTGGTATAGAGTTTGTTGCTATTTTTCAATCTAGTTCAGTTGATGTATTGCCTATTTAAAGGCCATTAGTTAATTGAATAATATGTACTAAAAAAATATATTTTTCTCTACTTTGATTCTAAATTGTTTTTGTCTTTGTACTTATCTGATTAGCCTTCAATTTGTAACAATGGTATCAGAGCCACCGAGAGTGAAAAAGCGAGTTTGAGAGTGCAGCAGCAACAAATTCATTTATTGCAGTTCATGGCTTCTAATGGTTTTGTGCAACCAAGTTTTCCACGCTTTGATGGTCACTATGACCATTGGAGCATGCTAATGGAGAATTTCATGCGCTCTAAAGAGTATTGGCAGGTGATTGTTTCTGGAGTAGCAGAATCAGTAGCCGGTACAGTGTTGACGGATGCGCAGAAGACAGAGTTTGAAGCACTGAAGCTGAAGGATTTGAAGACGAAGAACTATTTTTTTTCAGGCAATTGATCGTTCCATCTTGGAAACGATTCTTTGCAAAGACACCTCCAAGCAGATTTGGGACTCTATGAAGAAGTAATACCAGAGGATAACTTGAAAGGCAACTTTGATAAATTCATAACAAACCCTCCCTTAAACTAATGTTTTCAATCACTCAGTTTAATACACCGGTAAAAAATCAGCTCCCTCAAATATGTAGCGTACAAACACCCATCAAATTTCTTAACTTCAGAAACGAAGGCAATTTGAGGGGCTTTGTGAATATGTCTGCAACCTGATCTACACTTCTGCAGTAGATGAGCTCAATTGTTCCAACACCTTTATTCTTTTTTTCAACATCATTTTATCTTGTTCTTAGCACCTTTAATATTACTTCAACACCTTTAATATTGTTCTCAATAGTTTTAATCTTGTTATCAAAGTATTTTAAACTTATTATCAACAGCTTTAATATTTACGACCCTATAAGTTTTACCTCAATGCCTTTTAATTTTTTTTCAAATTCAACTTGAGTAATTTGGAAAAAAATAAAAATAAATAAGTCTTCCACAAAAACATGGATTTTGTCTCTCACATATTATATTATTAGGGCACTTTGGCTTCAAATATTTGTCATTATTTTGAAAAGATAGTATCCAATGTTTTGGAAGTACATACTAATTATGAAAATGCTTTTTGAACAAGAATTTAATTCTATATGTTATATATATGATGCATAATAGATTAACATCTATATTTTTAAAAAAAGTAGTGGGACATTGTCACGCTCCAATACAATAGGGAACGATTAGTTAGGTAAAATCGGAAAGTAGAACAATAGTCCTCTACTAGAAGAAAAACAATTTGTGCAACGGTTGATAAAAAATTCAATTTCAAAATTTCAACACATTAAATAAGTAGAGATAAATACAATTGAAATTTAAGCAATTTAAGTCCCTTTGCTTGAAAAGATACTTAATTAAATCCTTCTCAATACATTTAATCATGTTCTCAAAACCTTTAATCGTATTCTAATCACATTTTAATCATTAATTACCTCAACACGATTTAATAGTTTTCTTAAAACCTTTAATCTTGTTCTCAACACCTTTAATCTTATTCTCAACACTTTTTAATATTTTTCTCAACACCTTTAAATCTTGTTCTTAACACTTTTTATTTTTTTCTCAACATATTAATTTAATCTTATTCTCAATACCTTTTAATCGTGTTCTCAATACCTTTAATATTACCTAAACACCTTTTAATTTTGTTCTCAATAGCTTTAATCTTGTTCTCAACACCTTTTAAACTTATTATTAATAACTTTAATCTTTACCGTAAGACTCTATAATCTTTACCTCAATGCCTTTTAATTTTTTTCTCAAACTCAAATCTGAGTAATTTGAAAAAAAAAAAAAAAAAAAAAAAAAAAAAAAAAAAGATCTACCATAAAAAGATGGTCTTTATCTCTCACATATTATATTATCACGTCATTTTGGTTTCAAATATTTGTCATTGTTTTACGGGACAGTGATGAGGGAGACGCTGCAGCAGAATATTTTGTTTTCCTTTTTTTTTGTTTGGTAGTTTTTTTTTTTTTTTTTTTTTTTTTTTTGACTTTTTTCTTGCACTACAACATGAGTATAGGACTCATTTACAGCAGAGGATCCTAATCCATCTTAATGGGTTAAAAAGCCACTAATGCCCTCAATGTCATAATGAAGATTCTTTACTTGACCTTTTGTATACGTTTCAGCAGTTGCTCAAGGTTGTGAAGAACTCTAATTACATTTTTTTTTTTTTTGGTGGATAATTTTAGTAATAAGAAAATAATAATAGTATTACACTTTTATTATATTTTTATTTGTGCTTTCAAAAAAAAAATAATAATAATAGTAATAATAACACTTGAATGGATATCTTTCTTAAAAGATAGTTTTTTTTTTTTTTTCATTTTGTTGGAGCTCAAAAAATATTAATCTCTGGTTCAGAATAAAATTCTGTGGAATAATAATATTTGAAATTTTCAGTTATTAAACAAATCTCTTTATATATATATATATATATAACCTAAATTTTCACGAGAGTGAATTTTCGTGACTTTGACATGGAACAATGATAACCATTGAATCCGTCTGCATTTCCACAAGGTGTATAGAATTGGATGGAGCACTGCTACTGGCCTGACACATTTCCCTTGAAAAAGGGCACCCAACTTGACGTCTTATGTGGTTTAAGGCCAGTAGCAGTGCTGGATGGATGTGATAGGTGAAGAAGATTGAATGAATCATATTCACTTGACTTCCTTCATACGTTTTTCACTCTAGTCAAGCCACGCAATATGACTTCAATGGCGCAATAAATTGGTAACTCAAGGCAAGCCACGTAATATGATTTTAATGGCGCAATAAATAGGTTTGGTATGGATGTGGTGCGGTAGTTAAGTAGCAATAAATCGGCATGGTATGGATGTGGTGTGGTAGTTAAGTAGGTTTGGTATGGATATGGTGTGGTAGTTAAGTGGTAAGGCATTGATATGGCATCATTGTTCACGAGACAATTCAATTCAATGACCGTAATGAATATAAAGTTACATGCATAGTTGTTATTGAGATTGTGGATCCTAAGTCAGTAGTGACAAGGGGCGGAGCCAGGAATTTGTTTCAGGGGGCACCATATTAAAAATAATAAATTATATTTTTTTAAGCAAAAAGTGATACAAGACAATAAATCAAAAAATAAAACTATAATAATAGTAGAATAATAACATTTAATAATTTAAAAAATAATTATTTAAAAAAATAAGAACATAAAAATACTGACCTTAAGGCAATAAATTTAATTACCAAACTTTGAAGAGGAAAAAAAAATAGTTTGAATAAAGAAATGCAACTTTTTTTAAAAGAGAATATAAAGAAGAAGAAGATGGGGAGGAGGAGGAGGATGAGTAAGAATGAAAAGAAAGGAAAAATTAAAGATATTTTTTAAAAATAATTATTTTAGTGGGCATTTTTGTAAAATTTTATAAATTATAGACCTAATTGCAATAAAAACTAATTGGCCCAAGGGTAAATAATTATTTCAGGCGGTATTTTTCAAATTTTTATAAATTATTGGCCTATGTGTAATAAAAATTAATGGCCACTTTCTTTAAAAAAAATTATTTTAGGGGGGCATTTTGAATACTTTTATAAATTATAGGTCATTTGGTAATTAAAATTAATGGGCCAGCATGGCCCCCCCCCCCCCCCCCCCCCTAAAATTATAATTGATATAATTGAAAAAAAATAGCTAAAAAAAATTATTGAATCAAAATTTTATTTTATATGCAAATATAAGGAAGTGAGACTCTATCTATTTTCTTGTTCAGTGAACATATACCAATCAAAATTGTTCAATCAAACAATTCACTATGGGATTGGACTAACAATCACGGTTCTTCTTGAATGTGTAATTGAATTCAATAAAATGCTTCTATTAAGGCTCTATTTGTTTCACGGTAAAAAAAATTTCAAAAATTATTTTCCTCATTTTTCGGTGTTTGGAAGACTCCAAAGTTAAGAAACTATTTTTCATGTAAATCATTTTACCTCCAAATGATTG